CTGCTGCCCAAAAATCAGGACTTGGGAAGATGAAACCTACCAACCTGCAAAAGGAACTGCAAAACAAAAAATCAAGAACGTAAGATGGGTCATGCATCAAATGTTTGCTCACATCATTCCTCATGCCAGCCTCCAAGAGCTTTTTGGCATCAAAGGCCATACTACACATACAAATGGCTCACTAATTGTCTAACAATATTGGAGAATGGTCTCTAAAATGAAAAAAAAAATGAAGACATCCTTGAAATCCTAGCTCATGAGCAACTTGCTTTACTAAATTGTTATGAATTTTAGATTAAGTAGTCTTTACCCATCCCTGAACAAGCTGAAAAGAACACCAGCAAAACATTTGTTATAGCCACTGTCAATCCCACTTTTGCATCTATAGCCTTGGCTCATCTTGCCTATCAAGTGACTTGATTTAGATTTGCAGGGCATGATAAGCAAAGCTATGGGGTTTCTCTGGTCCTAATCCACATTCAACCACTAGGTCACACTAGTTGTTCTTCCTTTCCTAAAACCAGGACTAATCAGCAGATTATAGAATAGGAATAGAATAGAATACTTTATTTGGCCGTGTGATTACACGCAAGAATTTTCTCTGGTGCAGAAGTTCTCAACGTAAATGCAAAGCAACAGAATAAACAATACAAATAAGAGTGGGTAGTAGAGATGAAAAGGATAATACTAAGCCACACAACATGGGTAAATATACTTAGACATAAAACAATACTGTGAGAATTAGGTGTTAGCAGTGATATCAGGAGATAAAACTGTCCTTGTATCTAGATGTTTTGGCATGCAATGCCCTATAATGGCTGCCTGAGGGGAGAAGTTGAAACAAATTATGCCCAGGATGTGAGGGGTGTGTAGATATTTTCTCAACCCTCCCTTTCCTACACAATATACAGGACTTCTATGGTAGGCAGGCTGTTTGCAATTGCTTTTTTTTTGCAGTTCTAACTATCCGTTGGAATCTGTACCAATGGATAAGAAGCTGGTGGCTCCAACAGCAGCCTAATTTGGGAGAGCCAAGCTTTCTCGTTCCTCAGCTGAGTATCCTGGTGGCGATGGTGGAGGATGCCCAGGAAGGGTTTACTCAATCAGCCTAAAGTGGCCACTAGATGGAAGCAGTTCCCATCCGTGAACTGGCCACAACACAGACAGCAAGCGCCTTAGAATTTGCACCATTTGCATCAGGGTGGTGTTGGCTCTTGGAGGGGTGGGTGGAAAAAAACAACGCACAACCAAGGAAGCCAAAGGGGTGGACTTGAGAGGCGACAAATCAACGTCACGGGATGCGGAGATGAGACAGGCTGTCCGCCGGGCATAGGTGCCGTGGTTAGGGGAACGCGAGGAAAGGCTCAAGAGAAAATTGGGGCTTGGCCTTGCTAGGGCCTAGCCGGCGTTTCCTGCGGGGAAGAGACGCCTCCAATCCCTGGCTTCGGTGGGAAGAGGGGTGTCGAGGCCCTGGCTCCTCCGCAGAAGCGGGCTGCGTTTGAAAAGCTCTCCGGCCGCTGGGCCAAAGGGCGCGCCGAAGAGGCAGTCCGGGAAGCCGCTTACGTTTGGAGGCTGGGTGGCGGGCCTCCAGGCTGTCTTCCAGCGAGGCGGCGGCGGCCACGGCCATGGCGACCTTCCCGGGAACGGAGAGTAAGGAGGGCAACGGTAGCACCTCCCGAGCGCGCCTGACGTCTCCGGGGTAAATGCGCGCTTGCGTCTACCTCAGGCGCCCGGCATTCCGCTCTGCGCGGCCCTCGCCTTTTCTCGGAGACTGCGCTCTCGGCCCGCAGCTTCCCGCTGACTTGCGCCGCCCGAACCGAGGGGCAGGTCCCTCGGACGCCTCTTCCGGGGTGCAACCGTCGGGATTTTCACCGGCGCTAGTACGGCGCCTCCGCGGGAGTCCTGCGGAGTTCAGATGCGCGCTGCCAAAGCCCGGACGCATCGGTGCCTTTGGGCGCTTTGGAAGCAAGGAAAGCATCGCCAAAGGGGAATCCGGCCCCGAAGCCTTTTCGACCCTGCTCCCCACAGGGACAGAGAAGGGGCGGTGTTGATACCCTAAGGGGGAGAATTGCCTGGAACCCAAGGAGAAAAATCGCAGTCATAGCTGCAGTGAATTGGAGATCTAGCCATAATTGTCAGGAACTATACTGCAGGGGTCTCCAACCTTGACAACTTTAAGACTTGTGGACTTCAACTCCCAGAATTCCTCAGCTTTGCTGGCTGAGGAGTTCTGGGAGTTGAAGTCCACAAGTCTTAAAGTTGCCAAGGTTGGAGACCCCTGCTATACTGTATTGTTCTATCACCTCTTGCTTATTTGGGAGTTTATTTTCTACCATATTCTAGTTCTATTTTTCAACCTTGGCCGCTTTCAAGATGTGTCCTCCAACTCCCAGAATTCCTGAGCCAACATGCTGCCAGGGGAATTCTGGGAATTGAGAAACATGGTGCTAGTTACTGGATTAAAATGGACATGGAGTAGAGTCAGGTTTATGATACAAAGTGGCATATAAACTTGATAAGTAAGAATGGATCTGCATATGCTTGTATGATTGAGAACTTTAGACAAGAAATGTAAAAGCAAGCACATTAGTAATATGTTCTGGAGAGGCAGAAACCAGTGTTAACCCTGGCACACCCAACCATGCGTATTTAATAGATCATGACAATTGAATATATGAATGTAGGCAATATGACCCTTTAAAAAAACCTTACTGTATCCTTATTTATCCTGCTGATCAAGCACACAGTACTCCATTTTGTCCTCCGCTCCCCCCCTTCCTTGAAATAGGTTGGGTCAAGAAGGAAAGGATGACCCCAAATCCCCCATGGAACCTCTGTGGCTGAGGAAGCCTAGAACCCAGCTCTTCCTGTTTTTAGTGCTGTTGGCTTTTCAGGAAAGTGGCAGAGCAATTTCTCTTGAGGATTATCTATTAATTGCAACTGAAGGCAAGAGGGAAATGATGAAATGACTATAACAGCATTACTATGCAAATGTTGTGCTAATGTACCATACAACTCCATAAAAGTGAGATGGGTACAATGACATAATTGCATGATGGTTATAATTTTGGTATCATTACAATTTGCTATAAAAGTCTCTGACAACCATAAAACGTAGTAAGCTATTTTTTATGATACAGCAGAACCTCTGGTCACGAACGCTTCTGACCGTGACCAAATCATGTTCCAACCAAAAAATTCACAATTCCTCCCCCCCCCCCCCCATGTGGCCAATTTCCCCTTCCACACCATTTTTTTTGTAAGTGCCAAATTTCCAAAATTAGGTTTGGGTCATGACTAAATCGGGTTGCGACCAAAGTTATAGAACAAATTATGGTTGTGACCAGAGGTTCTACTGTAATTCATTTTTTCTTGTCTTACAGAAATCCAGTGTTTGTAATATTTCTCTCCCTCCTCTACTGCAACCCTGGGCACCAGCATTCTTCTGCAGGCTTATGCAGACGAACCAGAAAGCAAAACTTAAGATTTAGAATAAGCATTGATAGACCAGCTTTGTCTATAGAAGCCTCACTGGGGTAAAAATTATGACTTTTTTCTTGATCTGGGTTTTTAATACAGGTATTTATAAATAGCTTTATGGCAGTTTCCCTTATATAAGAGAATGCTTAAAAAAATGCAGAGTTCTCTAAATGAAGACAAGTGCTAACTGCTTTAAAAAGTGGGAGTCAATGTTTTTTTTTTTTTTAAACTGGAAACCTATTTTCTCCTCTCTAAAAGTTAAGGAGCTCTTATGGAAGCTAGTGTAATGGAACTTGCAATTTTAAACATACAAGAATTATTCAATTAGGGAAGCCTATTAGGGAAGAAACACATTTTAATAGATTAAAACCTTAATTGTGAAATTGTAGATTTAACAATATTTCTTTGGCCTACACAGGATTCTCCATAAATACTCCAGGCACTTATTTCTGTACCAGCCAGCCATAATTAAGAATGTAAACGTATTTTGGATCCAAATTCTAAATTGTGTTTACTTTATCAATAATAGCTTTTATTTTAATTTTTCTCAATTTAAATAGAACTCCTTCTGTATCAATCAATCAATCTTTATTATGGTCACAGACCAGCAGAGACTCCCTTCTGTACTTGGATTTGTAATGGACTTGTAATTGCTTAGTGTAGGTAAAATTAAAACATCCAAACAGTTGTCCCCATGTCATCTTAATCAGCTTGAAGATTTATTTATCTATTATTTATTAAACAGAGTGACTCTGGACAACCTATAACATTAAGAATCCATAGTAAAGATGCATTGATAACTATTCTTCTAGGTCTAGGACATGTCCTCATAATGTTCCCTTTCTTCCATCCCTCAACCCACAGCTTATGCCCCCTCACTTGAAATTTGGTTGATTAGATGTTAAACATTATCTTACATAGTCTGGCCTTTTACTATGCCCGTATTTTGGTTAAAATATATAGTCAACACGACTGTACAACTCCTGTCAAGTATAAATACTTTGTTCTACCGTGTTTCTCATATAATAAGGCCGGGTCTTATTTTTTTTGAGCCCCGAAAAAATGGCTAGATCGTCTTTTCGGGGGTGACTTAATTCCCGCCCTTGCATCTTCGGGCGGGCGGCGATGGCTTGGATGTTGACCTCGGTGTTGGGGCACTTCGTATCGGGGTCAACGCAGGCAGCACCATATCCGGGTGTGCAATAAGAGTACTTCCTAACGGCAAGCCCCCCCCACCATTCCCCCCCATTTCGCATGTTTTAATATAGGCCTTAATTTGGGGGGGGGAGGGGCTTAATTTCATTTCATGCCTATAAAACATGCTGGGACTTCCTATTGGGGGAGGCCGTATTGTTGGAGAAACAGGGTAATAGCAAGTACTGTATTTCCAATTTGTCAAAGAATCAAGAATTCATTCGTACTTCACAAGGATACAGATTACTAATTGTTAATTCAGATCATGTGGTTTGCTAACACTTCTATAATACTGAAAGATGACTGACATTTGTTAGATTGGCATCATTGTCACCTTATTTATTTAATAAAGCAAAAAGTACTGTATGTACGGTAAACCTATTCTGAAGTAGCTGTCTCTCTCACTGTCTATGAACAAGAAAGTTTCTCACACAAGGAGATGGAAGTGATGGACGAGTGTTTGTCTGAAAACCATAGTGCATTCATCTTCCCGCCAAAATAGTGACCTTTATTAACACCTAGAGGCTCCATAATCTTTTGAGCTTTCTTTGTGTGAGGAGAAAAAGTACAAAACAACGTTCTTCCCTGAAAAATGTTGCCATTTTTTCAAGTTGCATGATACATAATCAGTAGAAGCACAATATTGCTGCAGTAATGCAAGAAGTCACAATGAAAATGCAGATGACTGTATCAACCAACAAGAGTCACACAGGAAAAGGTTTTTAGGAATTACTGCTTCGCTGGCTTGAGGAGATTGTCTTGATGCATCACAAGAACAACTACAGTATAGCAGAGATGGAATAATGTGGCATTATTGAATCTAGTTTCTTTACTAAATGCCTTTGGGTTTGTCATATCAGTTTACATAAATGACAAAGGATCTATCCAAGCAGGACTAAATGGGGCTTCACTGGGTCAGGACAAATAGCAAATCTATACAATGCATGAAAGTGTTTTTTCTTGGGTGCTTTTTCAATTTCCTAGTCTAGCCCACACTCTAGAATTCCAGGTTAACCAAGTATTAACTTAGTCTAGCCTCACTTTGCTTCTGAACTCTTGGCAGGTTAAAGATTAGCAATGCTTAGCATATAGTGGATAGATGCATTGCCTGAACATTAAAAAATACTTGCACTTCTATTTCAGGACATTTGTAAGATAACTGGACAAGGAGAAGACATTTAATAGTCAAGGATGCATCTAAGGCAGTGGATTGCAATCCTGTGTGCGTGTGTGAAAATAATAGTTGCATGTACTTTGTCATCTGAATATCTGGCAGGAGCCTCAGAAGGCAACATATTTTGTTAATGGTTGTACATATTATCCTTATCTACTGACTGATTTTTTTTAATTTTTAGTGTCTATGATACATATAAATCCTCATATTTATTATAGGAATGTTGACATTTTACCATGATCATAATCTACTGTGACTACATTATCAGAAAATTATATTTAAATCAGACCATTTAATATGCTAATCATTATACAGATCTTTAGCCAGCTTTCAGAATTATCACTTGAATATTTGAATCTTTGCTCTATTGTTGTAACAATAATATACCGACTAATTACAATTTCTAATATGGACTTGGTTTTCCTACAAACCTGTGCAGAAAAATTCCTTCTGCAAATTCTGACAATGCCAAATACAGAGATTACTGTAAAAGTTTTAAAATCTAGTGCAAAATTTGAATCCAGTTGGTGATTTAAAACCAATTGAACCCACATTTTAAAACCCAGAGAATGTTTCCTTTTTAATTTCATTTGGTCATATACGGCCAAATACCGTAGATAAATCTGCCAAGGCCCTCATATTTTGTCCCTTCTGCATCAATCACCCAACTATAGACTAGTAGAGTTTAGAAAGAGGTTAAAAGAACTGCTTGCCCACTCAGTTCTGACATAAATGGGGTCCCTACCCCAAAAGCTCCTTTTCTTACAGGCAGGATGAAGACATGACTAAATGCTTTACTAGTCTAAGTATAGTGAAAAAGCAAGAATAATTAATGCCACATCTATTTAGGAATAAGCTAGAAGTTCCTGTTAGATTTGAACTGGATGGTCTTGGGAGTTTGAGAGTTTAACAGGTCTAATCTGGACAGAAGGGGGTAGACCCCCTGACTCCTATTCAGAGAATTCACACTGATATAATTCTCCTGCACATGGGCTGCTTCCAATCCACTCTCTTCTGCAAAAACACGGTCAGCCGTCTGTGGAGCCAGATTTTCTTGAATCAGCTGTTCTCCCTGCAAGCAAGGAAAGGGAAAAGACACTAGTGAAGGAAAGACTAAGCCATTCTCCCAAAAGCAAGGATTTTTCCTTTATTTAGGGTGGTAATCAGCTATTTCCATTGCTCTGTTAGCTTGGGTACATGGAGTGTAGTGTCTTGAATTTAACGGAGTGCCAACAAACAGCAGAAAGGTGTTAAATAATTTCTGATACCTGAATCTCAGTACAGATTCCTTTATTGGTCTGGGAATTGTAGATGTGAGATGAAATACATCCGGTTGTCAAAAATGAATTCATACAAAGGCATGTCATGAAAATATAGAAAAGTATTTCTTGCAGGCTTTTCCCTAGACATTTGGGTCTGGGTGAGAGGAGTACCATTTGGGTTTTTAATTATCCCATTTGGTTCACCATTTTATATATTGTTTTTTTTCTAAACTATCATGGTGTTTGTTTTTTTTTGACAATATTATTTGTGTTGCACATTGATTGAGTTGGGAAGCCTATAAAGGCCTTATATTATTTAATTAATAATTTCCCTACCTGCAAGATTGGTGTGATAAGACGCATCATGCACCATCATTGCATCATCTGACACCAATCTTGCAGATAGGGAAAATTATTAATTAAATAATATAGGCCTTTATTCTTGATCTTTTAATCTGGCAGATACTTGTGAATGAAGTAGTGAATTGATAAAGCAAAATTTTAGATTTTTTCGAGGCAGTTGCCATCTCCTTTATCACTGCTGAATCATTTGACTGCCACGAGACTATCAGATCTGGCAAGCTCTGTAAATTTAAGTTAAATGTACATAATCTTTTGAAAGTTTAGTATTGCCAGCTTGAAATCATGTATACAACTAGGTTATATCTAGGTTATTGTACGACTATTCACTTTGTGTGAGATGGGCAGCTATATAAATTTGTCAAACAAACAAATTCAGGAATCAAAAAAGCCAAGATGAAAACTATAATCTCACAATGTCTCTATTTTATGAGCTGTATATGTAGAAAAGGGATGGGATTCTCATCGTGTCATCACTGCTGCCGTTTTTATTTATTTTTTTACCCTTCCCTGAAGACCTCCCTGTGCTTATCATTTTACAAGTAGATTTAAATAGAACGGAAGTCCACTTCTTCCTACATTTGTTGGATGGTACGTGTGGATTGTACACTGAGCACTGTCTAGACTTAAGGGTATGCATTATTGATAATGCACAGAAACAAATTAATTTTGGTGCCCAATGTGGAATACAAAATGTAGAAACAACTATGTCTGTTTCCTCATTAGTGTTTTATAACCTTTGTTATTAAGGACAGTTGTTTCAAAAAGCTGTCCACTAGATTTATTTATTTTTCAAAAACTTACTTTTGCCCTTTATTTTTGGTCATTTAATTTTTACTGTACAAATAGTACCACTTAATGCACGTCTTTCACATTCATGTGAAAAATATGGAAATTGAATTGTCTTTTTAAAATAAATTTACATACATTGATTTTAGATATTTTTAGAACATGAATTTTTGTTTTTCTTGGTTTAAGTTCTTGAATTTTTTTTTTTGTAAAGCATAGTTATATGCAACAATATTTTATCCTTATGGATTTCTTTCAGATTTCATTTCATGTCATTTATTTTTTCTAAGTATAAATGCCATATTTAGAGCATTTCTAATATTATTCAACCAATGCGCTGATTTAATAGTGATGGGAGTCGGTTTTATGTTGCCTCCATAAGGGCTGCCGGATGCTAAAAGCTGCTTTTAACAGTGTTTCTTAACCTTGGCCACTTTAAATTGTAGACCAACTCCTCAAATTTCCTAGCCAACATGGGGAATTATGGGACAGAAATTCACACATCTTGAAGTGCCATGGTTGAGAAACATTTCTCTAAATTACTGGTGAGGAAATACCTCCCTATCATGTTAAAGGCCAAGTGTGTCCAACCTTGGCAACTTTAACACTTGTGGACTTCCAGAATTGGCTGAGGAATTCCCCATGTTGGCTGGGGAATTCTGGGAGTTGAAGTCCACAAGTCTTCAAGTTGCCAAGGTTGGACACTCCTGCTTGTAGACCATCCCCAAGCCATTGCTGATAGTCTGCTGAATTACCTCAGGTACCGAGTCTTTTTTCTTCATTTTGCTCCTTTCAAGGTCTTCCAATTTAATTACCAAGGCTTCTGTCTTGGATATGATGCCACCAACAGAATTCTCCAACTTTAGTACTCGCCGCAGGAGTCTGTTGAGGGGGAGAGAGGGAAAGAGGCAGGCTTTGAAAACCCACTTTTAAAATAGTATCTAGTATAGAATATAGCAACAGTCAAGGCCATTCCCTGCAAGTAGTTTCATCTAGTTCTGATGCATGCACAGCATCTATTGGAATATGCAGTATTTCTCCTGGTCACAAGTGTTCCTGAGAGTAGGAATATAATCTTAGCAAGAATTAATGGAAATGGTTTACAATTTTAAACGAAAAGGGAGAAGAAGCTCCATTTCAGGGAATACAAAGCAATACACTGCATCTGGGAGGAAGAGCTATGCCCTGTGTGCCTGGAACAAAGGCATGGAAGATCCTGAAATTAGTAGTTCCTGGACAAAGAGCAGGGAGAATAAAAGAGAAGGCAGTATTGTAAACCCCCAATTTACTATTTATACTTCATTGTCTTTTGTAGGCAGGAGATTGGGAGGAGTAGAACACTGAAGGTTTGAAAAATTGGTTCTTATTTTTGATATTGTCATAATCTCACGCTTAACATTTCATAAACAACTTACTCAGCTGGAAAGTTAAAACCTACCACCTTGCTTTATTGTGCTCTGCCAATGAAACAGGTTTCATGTTTATTAATCAACATTAACAGGTTTGTTGGTCTCTTGTGCAGACATTTGTGTGTGTTTGTTAGTGAATTTTAACATTTTCTTTCCCTTTCGTGTCCATGTATTTTACCTGTATATTTTGATATATATTTGATGGTCAAATCAAATGAAATACTACACACATTTGGAATTCTTCCTCAGAAATTCTGCTGGTTTTGTTTGCTTGATTATTCTTTGCCTCTGCAAAACCAAGAGTATTGTCTAAAGTATTGTCCCTGAAGGATTTCCCCAAATTTTCGATTTCTTCATTCAGAGCAACCTGAGGAATAAAATTTAATCAGTTATTTAATCATAATGAGATTTCACTGTAATAATTTAAAATCTTGCAGACATGGATTTGTGTATTTTCTTCCACTGGATTAATTATTGACATATGAGGCTCATTTTAATTCTCTGTGCAGCTAACAAATTTATGCCATAGCAACTTTCTATTTGATCCTGAAACTCCTATCTGTAATCGGGTCTTCTCAATAACTGCTCCAGATCCTGTAACTTATTTATTGTGCAATAAAACTGCCCATAGTTGTCACAAATCCATATGCATTTTCATCTACATTGATCAGATCATATTCTAATACGAGCATCAAAAACTCCACAGTAAAATGCATTTTTGCATGTAATACTAACATACGCATTTTCTCTATATAGTTTCTCTTATTTCTATTTTCGTTATTGGGGAGAAAAGTGTAATAGAGGTGAAGAATAATTGCATATTTGTTTGCATATTGCTTCAGAAAGAATTAACTTAAAAATGAATTACACTCAGCTGTATCCCTTTTCTTACTAAATGCGAAGAGCCAAGATAGAGAAATCATTATATGGCGTGAGTCCCAGTGGTGGTATTCAGCCGGTTAGCACCGGATCAGGCAAACCGGTAGCAAAAATTTGGCATGGGTCGCCGAACCGGCAGTAAGTTCTGGCTGGCCACGGCCCCACCCGGTCGCCCTCTCTCCCGATGCTCGCTCATCCCGCCCACCTGCCTGACATCCGCCTAAGGTATTTCTTTTTTTCCCTCCCAATAATCAGCTGTAGATAAGATCAGCTATGCCGGGATTCCCCCTTGGTGAGGCCCAGGAAGGCAAAAAATGGAGGGAGGAGCTCAGCTCCCCCCCCCTCCATTTTTTGCCTTCCAGAGCCCCAGAGAAGCCTTAGGGGAGCAAAAACGCCCCCCAGAGGCTTCTCTGAGGCTAGGAAGCTCCCCAAAATGGGTGGCGGCTGCAAAAAAGCCACACCCACCCAGTCACATGGCCACGCCCACCAAGCCACACCCACAGAACTGGTAGTAAAAGTTTTTGAATCCCACCACTGATGAGTCCCACCCAGTGGTGGGTTTCAAAGTAGTTTACCACTAGTTCGGCGGGTGTGGCTTGGTGGGCACGCTTTGCACGCGCACCAGACACGCACTTTGCGCACGCGCAGAGGCTGTCCTACTCACCTTTTGCAATCCTGCATTCTCCCTGTAGCTTCAACAGCTGATGCATGGCAATCTGCTGTGCCACGCAAAGCAGCGGCGCTTCAAAAGCAGGGAATAAAGGTCAGTGTGGCAGCCCGGGTGGGCGGGTCGGCCCAACAGCAGCTCATCAGAGAGAACCGGTTCAGTCTCCGCTGATCTTCGGCGCTACCGGTACACCAGAACTGGGCCGAACCGGTAGAATAGCACCGCTGGTTCCACCCATAAAGTATTTCTTAATTCAGACCATTGAATATCAGGTCAATACATTAAATGTGCATACAAACCAGATGTCAGGCTCAAAACTAAGAATGACATGAGGGGTTCTTCCAGTCTGAGTTCCTTATTGTTCCACGCTTGTAGAAAAAACCTTGCCAGACTGAGGACTCTATTTATCTGGATCTACAATATACTCTGTGAACTATTTGGGAGGGGTTGCCTTCACCCTCTTTCTCCCACATATACCCTGGGCCGAGTTTCCTCTTACTCTCCTGAAATGCACCCCCTCCCTCCTGGTGATCCACCCCCTCATTATATTCCACCACAGATCATTTTCTCCCCTTACTTTCTTCTCCTCCAGATCATTCCGCATTCTCTTTTGCTCTTCCTCATCAAGGATCTGGTTACCATCTTTATCAAATTTTGCAAAGGCTTCTGTGATTTCATGTTCTGCATGACCCAGCCTGAAGAAGTTGGGGGTAAGGATGGGGAACAGAGAGAAGGGTGAACACAAAATCTGAAAATAACACTTAATGCATAAAGAGCAAGGTTGATACTGAAGCACACTGCTTGACTGGTATGACGGTCAAAGGAGAGATATTTGTGAATTTCACTGGAAAGATGCTTACTCTCTCAAACTGTTCTTAAAGTCTTCATATTCCAGCTCTTTGGTTCCTTTCTGCAAAGCTTTCTGCACATCAGAAATTCGGTCTTTTTTCAGCTTCATCTTCATCAGTGTCCGATTATAGCCCTAGAGTTACAAATAATGCAAATGAAAGTTATCTTCATTGTTTTATACTGTGGCCATTACAAGACACAAGACTAACAACTACTGGGACAGGCCTCACAATGACAGAAACCCCAGCTGGATACTTAATTCACAAGTTACTTTCTATGGCTTTCACTTTCCCTTGCAATTTTTCTGAAATTACTTGAATAAAGCATAGTCATAAACATTGGAAAGAAACGGATACTATGGTCACTTTTATAGAACTATGTTTGTATAAAGTACAGATAATTCTTTACTAACAATCTTGTGTTTAGTAAACCATTCAAAGTTACAATGGTATGGGGAAAAGTGACTTACAATCAAACCTATAACATCACAGCATCCTCATGGTCACATGCTCAGAATCTGGCTGGTTGGATACTGGCACGTATTTACTATGGTTGCTCCCATGGATGTAATCGCCATTTGTGACCTTGTCAGCTAGCTTCCAATAAGCAAAGTCAGTGGGAGAAGCTAGAGTCGCTTAATTAATGTGATTCACATAATGGCAGTGATTAATTTATCAACCATGGCAAAATGGTTGTAAAATCTGGCACAACTCACATAACAGCCACCTTGCTTAGCAATGGAAATTCTAGTTTGAATTGTGATCGTACTTTAAGGACAGCCTGTGGGTCACCTCTGTATTGATATGGGCCACTAGAATGACTGGAGTCCCTGGCTTTCACTATAGGTGCAGGCGAAACACCAAAGAAGCCCCTGAGGGTTGTACCATACAGTTGCCATAGAAATGGAAATTCACAAAGCATTTTTGGAGGTGCCAAAGTGCTCTGTCAGCTTCAAAGCCATTTTTCTTTGAAGCTTCTGGGCTGCCACATTCAGTGCCTGGGAATTTAGGAGGCATATTTTAAAGAACGGTGAAAGATCAGCCACAACAACATTCTTTTCTCAGAAAGTCAAGGACATGTTACTCTGCACCTGGAGGGGAGTTCCTATAGATAGTTTCCAGTTGGAACGAAGTAATGATTGGACCATGTGATGAACTATTGGGTGCAGGGGCTGGATTTTGGATTTTCTTTGGGTTAGGGAAAACCCGGAAATCTCAGATTTGGGTTTTCCTCAGATATGCCAATATGACATCTCTAATAATATTGATTTTTGAGATGACAATCTTGGAGTCTTTTAATCTGGAGGTTGTTACTTGGAACACTGACATGCTCCCTAGCAGCATCCATTCAAAATAACTTCATTCATAATGGATGAAATAAAGGTATAAATGAATGAACTACCTGTTTCAGGATGTCTGATAGCTGCAGTTCATTCTTCTGGTTTGAAAGTTCCTCTTTTACTTCTGAGTAGGTGTCATTTATGATAGCCAGAAACATGTTCTGTAGAAAAGAAAAAATATAATGCAGATTATCTTGAAATCAAGAATCCACTCTTCTGAATGGTGCTTTATGTGCAGAAGTGGGGAGGAATTAGCTCTGTACTTGTGGCTTTTATGTGATTTGAAGAATTGAAACTAATACTTCAGTAATTGATGGGAATTCCAAAACAAAGCTACTTTCCCCCCCTCTGTTTTATTATTTCACTTTTTGAAAACCAGGGAAAATATTTTATATGAAAAACTAGGATTTTTTTTGTTAGAATTATATGTTTCAGAGGGATAAATGTTTATCAAAGGATCATACAATTGAAGAGGGTCATCAAAACATCTGAGTCCTATGCCTACTGTCGTTGCTGAACACACTAAGAGGGATCCATATTTCCCTCAATAGCTGTTTCACCCTAAAACAGCTTTTACCATTAGGTTTTTTTTCCTGCTCTTCATCCAAAATCTACCTTCCTTTAAATCCATTAAGACAAAATCAACTTACCAACAGGACAAAGAAGACAAAGAAGACATAAGTGACGAAATAGATGGGTCCCAAGATTCTGTTGGCATTGTCGATAGCATTATAGTCAAAATCACCAAGAATGATGCGAAATTGTGTGAAGCTATAGAGTGGAAAAAGGAATGAGTTTGCAATATGATTTTCAGGAAAAGAGCTTTGCTGAGATGGAAGGATTTAGATAATCAAAAATATTTGTCCCTCTTCTTTTTGAAATACAGAACTAAGTAGTTGAGTTAGATCTCCATATATTACTAACAGACCCATTAAACACTGAAGGAAACACATGCAAAAAATAGTGTCTCTAGAATTCTTTCTGAGACTATGAATGACCCCACTATGGATCATGTGGCTGATAGGAAATGAGATCTTACAATAAATATTACTAACTATTTAATTGTAATATATATATTAACTTCCAAAATTAAGAACTGGCCACATTTCACAGCTCCTTTTGTAGGAAGAAGTGGAAGGACAGGTGAACTATGGCTGCCAGCTCCATGATACATTCTCCTCTGAAAGACCAGATGGCATGGCAAAGGTGGAGGAAGAAGTAAGAAAATGGAAATGGGCTCATCAGTGGAACGGGGAAAGGGAATTAGAGTCCTCTGAATCATGGAATCAATTATTAACTAATCCATTATCCTCCACTTAGAGACAAATAACCTACTTAAACAATTTGGTTTCAGAAAAAAACCTATCCTGCAATCTGCAACTCTTACACTGCAAAAACATATGGACTACACAACTCGATCTGGGCAAAACAATAGACAAAATCTACATAGACTTCTGTAAAGCCTTTGATTCAGTGGTACACGACAAACTACTCCTAAAACTAAAATCTTATGGTATCTCTGGACAACTGCATAACTGGATAGAAACATTCCTGTCAAACAGACAACAAATGGTCAAAATTGGGAGTGTCCTATCAAATTCTGTACCTGTCAACAGTGGTGTCCCCCAAGGCAGTGTTCTAGGACCAACTCTCTTCAA